GGAAGTCCATTGCCCTTTAACGTCCACGCTACCTGCCGGCCCCAGGCTACCACTACTTTAACCACCATGCCACCAGCTGGTCCAAAGAAGAGAACTCTCTAAGCCTTTTTTTTTTTTTTTTCCAGAGAGAGAGAGAGAGAGAGAGATTTTTGCTATAGGGTACATGTGCTCTCCAGAGAGACAGAGACAAAAATCAAGAAATCACCCCCAGGAAGGATGGCCGTGCTGCATTCTCTTCTCCTTTGTTCTTCTCTCGGGATTTTGGGCATGTGTGCACACGCGCCCAGCATGAGTTTTAAGCTGCCAGGCCCAGGACTTGAACCATGCTCGACTATGTAGGAGTCCAGCAACGTAACCATTACTCCACTTGCTGGTCCCTCTAAGCCTTCTGAGGCCTGGGTTCTATACCTCAGGAGAATGCGAGGTGGTCTAGGGTCCGGGGACCTGTTCCATGGACCTGCTCCCTCTCCCTGTAGCTGATCTACGATGCCGGTGTGTCCTTCGTGGTCATCATGTTTACCTGGTCTGGCCTCGCCTGCCTTATCTTCCTCAACTGTGCCCTCAACTGGCCCATCGAAGCCTTTCCTGCCCCCGAGGAGGTCAATTACACGTGAGTAGCTGTGGATGGCCGTGGAGTGAGAGGAGGAGGCCCCCTGCGGCAGAGGGAGAGGCCAGGACTGTGGTGACGTGATGGACAGAAGCAGCTTTTGAGCCAGAGAGACCCGGATTTGGATCTCAGCTTGGCAATTGCCTTACCTGTCCGAGCTCTGCTTTTTCATCTGCAAATGGGCCTGACCCAACTTACCTACAGGTGTTTCTTTTTTTTTTTAAGAAATTTTTGTTTAACTTTATTTATTTATTCATTTTATTTATTTTAATTTAACCAGAGAGGGAGAGAGAGAGAGAGAGAGAGAGAGAGCAAGCAAACTGCCAGAGCTGGCATTCAAACCGCGGTCAGCCATGTGGGAGTCCAGCGCCCCTAACCACCACGCCACCTGCTGATCCCCCACAGGCGTTTTTAAGTGGGAGAGCTGGCACTGCTGGTCAAAGGTGACTCTTACTGCTATCCTTTCTGGGTTTGGAGCAGGAGAGCACAGCAGGAGGGCCCCCGGCTATAGCACCAGATGCCATGTGGACCCAGAAAGGGAAGGCGCCCCACCTTTTGTGAGGCAGTCTGAATGCCAGTGTCTCCCAACCCCGCATCAGTTCAGCAGCCAAGCGTAGTGGGTGGCAGTCTTTTGGACACAGGCACTAATATCGAACCCCCTACCATTTTCAAACAGCCGCGGGATGCAGTTTCTGCTATTAACTCCATTACTAACAAAGATGTAGGGGACAGATGACTTTCTGAAGTCACACCATCGAAAAGAAGGTGACTCTGAAGTTGGGATCACTCTGGCTTCAGAGTGAATTCTTTTTCTTTTCTTTTTCATTTTCTCATTTTGCCATAGGGCATGTGCGTTCCCCAGAGAGAGAGAGAGAGAGAGAGAGAGAAACACCCCCCAGGGGGATGGCCATGCCACAGTCCCTTCTCCTCCGTTCTTGGGATTTTGGACGTGCATGCACATGTGCCTGGTGTGATTTTCAAGCCACTGGGTTCAAACCTTGAACTGCACAGTCAGCCATGTGGGACCCACGACCTCAACCACCATGCCTCCGGCTGGCCCAGACTATGAGTTGGTTTTAGTTTGTTCTAGGGCACGTGTGCTCTCTAGAGAGACAGAGAGAGGGGAAAGCGAGAAATCACCCTCCAGAAAGAATGGCCACCCTGCAGTCCCTTCTCATTGTCCTCTCGGGATTTGGGGCGTGCACGTACACTGCATATTTGACGAGGTATTCGGCCTGGGACTCAGCCACACAGTCAGACGTGTAGGTTCCAGCCGCCTGGACCACTGCACCATCAGACTGGCCCGTGTGAATCCAGTAAGGACTGGAGCCTCCCCCGTGGGAACAGCATGAGGGAGAAAGTGTTTCGCCTGCCCTTTGCTTCCGGGGATCCACGCTAAGCTGCTGCCAGGCTGGAGCAGCACAGACCTGAGCCTGCATTGGGGAGCTTATCCCTGGGCCTGTTGGTGCTGGGTAAAGGGGCGCTGGCACCCCAGAACAGTCTGGGAGGACCACCTAGAGGTGGGATGTCACGGGTCAAGTCCACTTGGCTGGCTCCCACACGCTCTGGCCTGGCTGCTGGCAGGAAGAAGATCAAACTCAGTGGGCTGGCCCTGGACCACAAAGTGACAGGCGACCGCTTCTACGTCCACGTGACCACGGTCGGCCAGCGGCTGAGCCAGAAGGCCCCCAGCCTGGAGGAGGGGACTGACATCTTCATCTCATCCCAGGATGTGCGAGGCACCTCGGAAAACCCTTCCGAGAGTGAGTGTGTGGTCAGGGTGCAGCGCTGGGGGACAGGGAGGGTGGGTCCGTCCTCACACACCCTGTGATGCAGGTTGGGCATCCTCCTTGTTCACTGATGGGAGGTCAGAGCTCAGAGAACTCTGGGATGTTCAGGTTCGGGGGTACCCAGCTGGGTGCCAGAAACGGGGCAGAGAGAAGCTTCCAAAATGGGAATAGGGTCTCCAGGCCCTGGGGCAACTGGTTTCTTCAGGGCTCCCTGCAACCTCTCAGCCCATCCTGTCAGGTTCAGCCAAGTGAGGGACCCTCCGGACTGGGGCCTTCCAAAGCCTGGCTGGCCGTCGCCCCCTGCTGGCCACAGGAGGATTTGCACCTGCTTGCCTGGATCACTTCCCAAGGCTCCTGAGATTCCCTGGCTGTCAACTCCAAGGTTATGGGCAGGAGCGTGGGGCTTGGAGTCAGGAGACAGGGCTGAGTCCTGCCCCTGATACAGGCCATGTAACTTGGGGATACCACTTAGCGTGCTCTTGCTTTCCACATCGCCTTTTACTGTATGTGTGCTGAAGTAAGCACCCTCATCCCTGTTTATTTGCATTTATTTATTTATTTATTTTGGAGAGGTTTTTGTATAGAGCATGTGTGCTCACCAGAGAGACAGAGACAGAGAGACAGAAAGCGAGAAACCCCCCCCCCCAGGGGCGATGGCCACACCGTAATCCCTTCTCCATTCTCCTCTTGGGATCTTGGGCACGCATGCATGCATGCACGCATGCCCGCCTGGCTTGAGTTTAAGTCACTGGGTCCGGGACTCGAACCACGGTCGACTACATGGGAGTCCAGCGACATAGCCATTACGCTATCTGCTAGTCCCTTGATTTTTATTTGTAATTGCCAGAGAGCATGTGCATTCCCAGAGAGTAAGAGAGAGAGAGAGAGAGAGAGAGAGAGAGAGAGAGAGAGGAGGAAAGCGAGAAAGCACCCCCCAGTGCAGTGTGGTCATTCCACAGTCGTCCATTTCTCTGTCTGGTCGGGATTTTAAGCAGGCACCCAGACACGCCTGGTACAAGCTACCAGACAGGGACTCAGGGACTCGCAGTCAGCCATGTGGGATCCACTTTCCCTTAACCACTAGGCTACAGGCCAGCCACTGTTCTCATCTCCGAACAGGGCGGTTAGTCGGGAGGATGGAATGATGTCACGAACTCGAGGCTCTTTGTCACTGCCAAGTGTTGTGCAGTCAGGGGGGCGGTTGTCCCTGTCACAGATCCACAAGTAGGCGAAGTGCTTAAAGACGTGAGCCTGAGTCAGGCTGACCTGCTGCTTCCAGTCCTGTGAACTTTGGCAAGTTCATTCAATACCTCAAGCCGTAGTTTTCTCATCTGTAAAATGTGGTCAGAGATAGGGTGGATGTAAGATTTGATTGAAGGGGATAATACGTGGCACGCGTGCAGCACAGAGTAAGTACGTCAGAGCTACTGCCATGCTGAGGGGTGCGGTGAGGCCATCTCAACACGTTCCGTGGAGATGGTTGCAGAGCTGGGCAAGAACTTGGAGGCTCTGGCGTCTGAACCTTCTTGTCTTGGAAGAAACTAGTCCCTGTCCAAAGTCACATAGGTAATGTCAAACCCCTCTTGGGGAACAGCTTGAGCTGGGGCAGTAAGAGGGAAGTGGGAGGTCTGGGGCTCAGCGGCACCCTGTGTTGTCTCCCCAGAGTCTGTCCCATTAAGGAAGAGCCTCTGCTCCCCCATTTTCCTGTGGAGCCTTCTCACCATGGGCATGACCCAGCTGCGGGTCATCTTCTACATGGCTGCCATGAACAAGATGCTGGAGTACCTTGTGACGGACGGCCAGGAGCATGGTGAGGTGCCGTGGAGCTCCCCCGTGGGGTGGGGCTCATGGGAGGGTCACCCTGGCTGAGCTCCCCTCACCATGTCTTCCCCTCTCCCCACAGAGACGAATGAAATGAAGCAAAATGTGGAAGAGACAGGTAGGGAGATGAAATGGGGTCCTGACCCACAGCCATCACTGTAGCCCACGCCACGGGGGGTTGGGGTGCTCTGGGCCTGGACCTACCTGGCAACCCTGGGCTTGGTGGGGACCTAAGAGGCTGGGTCAGAGGAGGGCTAGCTCTCTCTGCTGGACTCAGGTGGGTGTGCCCACAGGGCTGCTGGTATCCCTCCTGCCAGCTCACCCCTCTCCCCTTCCTGTCCCACGCAGTTGGGTTCTACCTCGCCATCTTTGGGGTCATGCAGCTGTTGTGCCTTCTCACCTCTCCCCTCATCGGCTACATCATGGACTGGCGGATCAAGGACTGCGTGGACGACCCGACCGAGGGCACTGCCCTTGGAGACGCCAGGTGACCCGTGCAGGGGTGGTGACAGCCAAGGGCCAGGCAATGTTCTCATGTTCCCTGTGAATTCACATTCAGCGCCTCATTTCATTCTCCCGGGAGAGCAGGGGTGCCTTCCCCACTGAGGAGTGAGGCTAAGAAGGGACCTGGCTTGCTTGAGAATAAGTAGCTAATGCTAAGAGCTGAGTGGCAGGCCCTTGGTGGCATCGTGTCTAGTCCCGTAGAAGCTCTTGGAGGTAGGTGTGTTACTCCTCCTTGCTCAGATGAGGAAGCTGAGGTGATGCAGTTAAGTAACCAGGATCACAGCCCTTACCAGCAGGTGCCAGGACATGTTATAGAGGGAATATTCTAAACCTCCTTAGGGCTAAGGAGTGATGGAGTTGGTGTTACACACCTGTTGCTGTGTAACAACAGTTCATCCCCAAATTTGGCATCTTTATTTTATTTACGTATTTGAGAGAGATTTTTTTTTCCTTTGGAGAGGTTTATGCTGTAGGGCATGTGTGCTTGCCAGAAAGACACAGAGAGACAGAGAGACAGAAAGTGAAAAATCACCCCCCAGGGGGGATGGCCATGCTACAATCCCTTCTCCTCCATTCTCCTTCCCGGATCTTGGGCACATACGCACACAGGCCCGGCGTGAGTTTAAGCCACTGGGTCTGGACTCGAATTGCGGTCAACTACATGGGAGTCCAGCGACATAGCCATTACTCCAACTGCTGGTCCCTGAGAGAGATTTTTGCTATAGGGTGCATGTACTTGTCAGATAGAAAGTGAGAAATTACTCCCCCAGGGATGGCCATGCTGCAGTCCCCTCTCTTTTATTCTCTTCTTGGGATCTTGGGCCTGTGTGCACATGTACCAGGATGAGTTTCAAGTCACCAGGTCCTAGACTGGACCCACGGTCAACTATGTGGGAGTCCAGCAATGTAACCACTACATCTTCTGCTGGTCCCAAACTTGGCATCTTTAAATAATAAATATTTGTCCCCTCTTATATTAGGTCATTAGGAAAATGGTGACATATTATTTTTCTATGCAAAAATGTGTCATGACTTTGCCGACAACCCAATAGTTTCTGAGAGTTGGGAATCTGGGGATGGCTTAGCTGGGTGATCCTGCTCAGGGTCTCTCACGAGACTAGTCACGTTGCCGGCCAAGGCTGCGGTCACTTGCACTGTAGCCTGGGGTTGGAGAATCTGCTTCAGAGCTCTCCCATGGAGTGGACATGAGGTTCCATTCCTCCTCTCCTGGACCTCATAGGCTGCTCAGGGCAAGGCATCTTCCCTAAGAGCGAGAGATCTAAGACCGAGACAGAAACTGCTTTGCCTTTTGTATCAATAACACACTGTCAGGAGGGACATGCTGTTCCTTTTGCCCTAGTCTATTGGTCACACAGTCAGAACCCCTGTGCCTTATGGGAGGGGACAACACAGAAGTGAGGACGTCAGGAGGGAGGGGTCCTTGGGGACTATCTTGGCTGGAGTGCACTGTTGGGTCTTGAACCCAGGTCTTCTGACTGCTTTTGCTCTTGTCTGTGTTCATCCAAATCATCCTTGTTTGTCCTGAGAGGGTTGGTGAGGAGGACTAGGAGGGAGGTCTTCAAGAAATTACCTCGTGGCTTCCCTCCCCACAGTGGGGCCCGGCCCTGGCCCCAGCCTTCCTCCTTCACTATTCCTGAGGCCATGGTATGCCTGGGCCTTTCCATCCAGGGTGGATGGGCAGCCTGCCCCTCCCCAGCTGCTGACCTCTGTCCCGAGTTGGTTTCAGTGCCCTTCCTCATGCCAGAAAGAGGAGCTTGTTGGGCAGCCAGGGGCCCAAGCTGCCCTCAGAATGACAACTGCTTTTGTCCAGGCAGGGGGGCAGAGACCTTCTAGAGCGGGGACCTTTGCACCTTCCTTCCCCTTCTCAATTCTCAGACGTCAGCCTGTCCAACAGGCTCTCAGGGTATTTGTCCAAATGCATGTCCCAAAGCATTCCAAGGTCTGAGGTCAGGCTCCTGATCTGCATTCAAGGAAGCCCCCCGGGTGATGCGGGTGTGGTTTAGGGGGGACCTCACGTGGAGAGCAGAGTCGAAGTGATTTCCTACCTTTTCTGCTGCCTTAACAGCAAAGATAGAAAAGGGAGGGTCCGGGCGGAGAACCAAGGAGCTGCAGGGGCGGTGGCGGCAGTGGCCAGTGACTGCCTGTTCTCCTCAGGGATGGGCTTGCCGCCAAGTCCACGAAACCACGCTACCGCAAAATCCAAAAGCTCACCAATGCCATCAACGCCTTCACCCTGACCAACCTTCTGCTCGTGGGTTTCGGCATCACCTGCCTCATCCACAGCCTCCACCTCCAGGTATCCTCTTCCACCCTCCCTCTGCCTCCTGGGCCTCCTCCGAGGGACTTTCACCCAACGCCTGCCTCCAGGAAGCCTGGTTCTCGTCCTCTGGGGCTGTTTTCCAGGAAGTGTCTCTGGTGTTGGCGAGGCGGGTAGCCTGTGTAGACAGGCTCCGTGTCCCTCTTCACCCCACCCACTCTTCCTTCGGCTGGGCCCCCCCCCTCCCTAAC